GAACCCAAGCCTCCCTGTCCACCTCGAGTCCCGGAAAAGTTATCCCTTCCACCCTACAACGATGATTGTGTTTTACCCTCATCTCACACCACTTGTTTCCCTGGTCCTGATTACAAACATTCCCCGTCTAACTCTTATAAAGCTGATGAGCTCACTACTAGTCTTCCTAGCCCCTGCCAGTCACCCTCCACCCCCGCTGCATCCGAAGATTCACCTGCCCCTCGACGCTCCAGTCGCCAACGCCATTCTCCCGTTCACCTGCAAGTCTTTGTTACATAATTGAACGTTTACATATAGCTTAAATTTATATTGGTTTACACTAACACTCTCGGAACAATATGTAGAGAAAAACAGACAAAAAGTAGTCACGCCATAGTGTGGCTTTTAGTTGTTATTGTTGTTAGTAAAGATCACATGCGCCTGCGATGTTGTTCGCGCCTAGGCGACCTTTACTTCATGTTAGTATACTCTTGTGGCTTGTCTTGGCCTCGTTGTTGTTTTATTCATAACATAGTATTAAAGACTACCATTTAAAGTCGTCGTTTTAGCTTCGCTGTCGAGTGCCCTCCTAAACATTGGCGCTATAAATATTGTTATTTGTTGTTAAGTTGTTTTGTGATACATTTTTAAAACTACTGTTTTTTCAAACTGGTAAATATTTTCAAAGCCCCCCTTCTTTCGTCTCCCTGTATTTTTTCAAAGCCACCCCTTTCAGGTTTTGAAAAATTTGAAGCCCCCCCCCCAGTTTCTCCTCAATCCCCCCCCTGTACAATAAATAATGAGCGGTCCCTAAAGCTCGAATTAAAGAACAAAGTAGAAAACTCAAATACTTCTCATGTGAAGGGAAATTATAACAACCGCGGTGTCATTTGATGTACATACGTAAAACATGTATAAAAATAGTCAATAGAACACGAATTGTTATCCGACTATTTAAGGGGGCTCATCTGTCAACCTTCAGCGATATTCAACATATATATATATCATGACTTGCATATAACGATGGCGTCAGATTTCCCACTTTTAATTTCCCACTGGTTTACTTTGCACAAATGACCCTCGTCAATTGTTATTAATTGTAGCTATTCGTTGGCGTTTTCATCTTAGTTAAATGATCAGTTTCTGTAAAATACACATTAGTCATTAGATACAGTGCTTGATCTAACTTTGATAAGAGAAATAATGTACTCGATCTCCCGGGCAGTTTATAATTATATAGCTTCCGTTTAGTCGGTTTAGATGTTGGTAGAAGTTACCAGTCGCCTGGAATGTTGATTGATATTCTGTCTGCTTGAAAGGTTTTGTAGCTCATTGTCATAATCTTGCTACAATTTACTGACCAATTCGAAAACTAGCTGTTACAATTATTATTACAGGCAATGTCTGGCAAACTGTAAAAGTTCAAGATTGAAAACAATCCATATACAAGCAAAGTCTATAGAGTATAGTCAAGCTTGATTAGTAAATTTAGCGGCATAAATTAGTTCGTATTTGTAATAATATTTTAACACCGAAAAATATAAATCACTTCGGTATTTTTAGTAATAATAATTTTAATTAATACCTAAGTAATAAATTACTTAGGTATCTGGCAAAAATTACATTGTCATTGGTATTTGATTTCTCAAAGATACATGGCATTATATTTATACTTTGCAAAACTGCTAAGTGCTAGTTTTGTAGTATTCTGTAAGGTAGCACTTCTGATTAATACCTTGGTTGAAATTAATTAGAATTAAAGATTATACATTTATACACAAAATAAATAGTAAAAATAATTCCGAAATATCCGGCAATAAAACAAATACAACCACCGTCAAATCTAGTCAAAACTCTCTTCTGCCCACCGTTTTTGACATTTCAGTGAGAAGATTGACACAAGTAGAGCAGAACGAACAATTCGTTGTCTCGAGTGGGGACTGGGGAGGCTCGCGTATTCGGGCTTCTGGACTGAAGATGTGATTGTCATAACTATATTGGATAATAAGTTAATGAAAGATATAATAATATCCTCATGTTTCGCGCATGAATATATTTCTCATTTTCTCTTTGATACAAACCTCTTCAGTCCAGTCAATCTGTGACCAGAGGTTAAAGAAATTGCAATAGAATTTTTCTCAGTGGTAAAATGTGAGGGAAGGTGTCCTGATTAACATACTAAAAATCCAAAAAAAATCCCTTCGTTGGAACATGGTGAAAATCGAGTTTTTCTTACTTCTACCTATAGAAAACCATTGTGGACAGAATGTTCAAATTTTGAAATCATTTTTAGGCAAATGTAACCTACATTATTGGAAAGCTTAAACAAAACTATATTAAGGTCAATTAAGCCGTTATATTCAATTTACTGGTCCAGTTTGTCGTTATTCTAGCTCAAAGTTAGAAAAATAGCGCAAAATTTGTACAAAATACAAATTTATGGCATTTTAAATCTTGTATAACTTCGGCTGGATAGGCAAAAGCAAGGTAACCGTATAATGATCTATATTTTAGTTTTTTCTAAGCTTTCCAATGATGCATGTTATATTTGCAAAAAAATAATTTCAAAATTTCAACATTTTGTCCGCAATGGTTTTCTATAGGTAGAAGTAAGAAAAACTTGATTTTCACCATGTTCCACCGAAGGGATTTTTTTGGATTTTTAATATGTTAATCAGAACAACTTTTCACACACTTTACCAATGAAAAAAAATCTATTGCGATTACTTTGATCAGGACCATGTACTTATAGTGTTTTGACTGGACTACTTCCCTATCCCCTATTATGGGAGAAACACGAGCATATAACCAAAAACGTTGTTTATTAATTCTCAATTCAGAGACAAAGTTTATCAGTGACATAGCAAAAATGGCACAATGCTAATATTCAAGGAATGAATTTTTGTTATTGAATTACAAACTCACTTGTCCGAGACATTAATTTTAGGTATAAAGCCCAGGTTGGTGTATTTGGTGTATTTGGTGTGGCCGAATGACTCGGTGTGACTCAATTTTCATGTCCTAACAAATATGAAAACAATTATTTTTTATGTAACATAACACAAAATTTCACATTGGCAAATTACATGCACATATTTTTAGAACATGCAGGCCAATTCGCCCTTCAACAGTGTTCTTAGTAACGCGGTATCAACGGGGGCGGTATACAGTTTATAAGCACTGGATTCAGTCGAGTTATTATTCAGGTTGTCATCAACAGGAAAACGTTCCTTGGTTTTACTATACATATGTAAATTAATATGTTTATCTCGTCATTTTTAACACAGATTTTAATAAATTATTAGCATCAAACAGCTCAAATTGAGGAGCATCTAGTCCAGCTTCACAAGGCGCACCCATGGCGCCAAGAGAGTCAAGTCTCAAGAGAAAATTTTGGCATCTTAGTCTGACTAGAAATATGACAATGTCAATGTAATTTAATCCAGTAGTAGTACTATATAGCTAGAGTTGCATGCAGTTCTATAATGGCCTATAATATCAACATTATTCATTAACCAGTTAATGTGATGAGATAAATATCCATGTCATTAGCCAAATAACTCGACTAATAGTGACTGATACCAGTGGCAGTGCAGTGCTTACATATCAGACGTTTCTTTACCGTTGATACTTCGTTGCTATAAAGAACATTGTTGAAGGTCGTACAGGCATGTTCTAAAAATACGGGTTTGTGAAACAAATTACGTAAGTGCCTAAGCGTAAGTGTTTCCCAATACTAGTAAATATTAGGGACCTTAAGCAAACAGGGCGGCAACGCGACGACACGGCTTTTCACACAATGATATTCGGCTGATCTCGTACAAAAGAAATAATTAAAACCCACGGGAGTTAGAGACGTTGAGTTAGGGCTTTTTACAACGGCAAAGCCAGAGATTTTTCACGTCTCGTGTACAACGCAAACATGAGTCAAGACGCCACAAGTGAAACTACAAATTTGCTCAGAAGCGTTTTTAACCATAAAGGCTTTGTTTCAATCTCTTCAAACTGAACTCAATTCATTTATAGGACTACATGCAGTGGATAATACACAACAACTCTTCTTCGCAATAATTTATTTGAAGAAGTTTGCTTTGGCTGTCGTCGACGCGTTGCCGTCGTAAATGCATGCTTAAGGTGCCTGCCATATAATAATAATAATAATAATAATAATAATAATAATAATAATAATAATAATAACAACAATAACAATAACAATAACAATAACAATAACAATAACAATAACAATAACAATAATAATAATAATAATAATAATAATAATAATAATAATAATAATAATAATAATAATAATAATAATGAAAACTTTATTGAATTTTTACGTATATATACAATTGTAAATCTCACTACTGACTTAGGTAATTTACAATTGGCTACATGAATCACAGAGTACTACATAATTATATGTACTATTTACAGTAAAAACAAGAATAAAATGGGTATATGATTATATATATATTGTTATATGTAGTTATTAATTTAAATATTTAACAATTCAGGGTTTGTCCACTCTTTGTTTCGACAGCAAAAAATATAGTACGTCGCTCTAATGGCATAAGACGTCATCTTTTTTATGCAGTAATGTTGCTGCTTTTTATCCATTCCTATAGTGTCTAACATTTCTAAAAAGGTGAAGCATTCTTTGTCTAACACACCGAGAGAGCTCATTGATAGGTTTACAAATTTAACAGAATTAAAGTGACCCCTTTGATCTTCAATTAGATCTTTGTATTTAGCTTTTTTGCGTTCAACGTTATTATGTAGATTAGATTCAAACCCGACAGTAAGTTCAACGACATAAAGATCTTCATTTGGGGTAATTAGGAGTAAGTCCGGTCGATATAGGTCACCAGTTATAATTGACGGGCTTTTGTGGCCGGATAGGTCAGCATAAAGTTGACATGGATTTGTTGTTTGAAACGTTTCAGCGAGAAAGTTTAAAATAGAATCATGTCTCCAAATACAGCGCTGAAGGTACGATTGGCAGCCGGCTACCACGTGTAGTAGGGTTTCAGGACACAAACAAAAGGAACATTCGGGACTTGAAGCTAAACCCCATCTTGTAAGGTTTTTTCGCGTAGGAAGAGAGTTATTTATGTAACGGACGGTGAAGTTGAAAATGTTCTTTGGCAGTTTTGATTGAGCGGCAGACCAAAGTGTGTTTAACTGTGAAAAGGAAAACTTTGCAACATTCGAGAAAAATGAAGAGCACAGTTGTAGTTAATAATAATAATAATAATTATAATAATAATAATAATAATAATAATTTATTCAAACAAAGTCCCAATATTGGGTCATATAGAATACATAGGTAAATAACTAAATAAGTCGTTGCGGTCTATAACAATAACATAGATATAATATATATGAACGAAGTTGATAAATATATAAATACACATACATACATGCATGCACACACACGCACATGTGAGTAATTAGACCAGGCTATCAAAGCAGCCAAAACGTCGAAACAATATTTGCCTACTAACTTCATTATTGACTTATCCTTCATAGCCATAATATATATAAATAGGTTTTTCGAAGTAAATAAGTTGAAAAACCTATTTATTTTATATACACTATCAATTATCACTTATTTACTGAGACCGAGGGAAACAGTGTGTTTTGTGGACCCGAGATCGTCGATGGAAAAGTCGAGGCGAAGCCGAGGGAAACATCGACGGTCGAGGGTCCACGAAACACACTGCTTCGTGTCGTAGCCGTCGCCCATCTGAGTACGAAATTGTGGAGAAACCTCGTAGTCCTCACGACGACTTTTCAAAAAAACAAAGAAAGTTGGCTTTTTTTTGTTTTCCAAAAATAATTTGTAGCATTTATATAGCGTTTATCCGGCGCAAATAATATATTAGTACTAAATATCTGGCCTGTTTTTAATGTTATGACTTATTTACACGTTTTGTAGGGGATTTTAGTCAGCAGGAGATTTAGTTTATGAAACTTTTTATCTCGTTGTTGATTTACTGTTATAAAAGTAACATTTGAATGGAAACGAGAACGACTACGGTAACTTCCTCGCACGCAATCAAATCTCGTTAAGACTCGTACTCGTAGTCGTACTCGTAGTCAAATCTAAAGCTCCCTAGTATCTCCCTCTCGCGCTGTTGCGAGGGAGACAGCCTAATTTCGTCACTCTCACGTGATATGCTCTCAACCAATAAAACACTAGAAAAATGCGACTTTGACTATTGATACATGTATATAATAATGAATTTTGTCCTGAGGTCGATGAACTTCATGTTTGTACAAGACATTAAAAAGTGATGTTCATCTCCTACTTCATTTAACTCACAAAGTCTGCATAGTCTATCATTGTATGGGACATTGTTGTATCTACCAATTTCAACAGTTAGCTTATGTGCTGATATTCTTAACTTTGTGACAGCTTGACGATATTTGAAATTACTAATTTCGTTTAAGTATTTTTCACATTCAAAGTGTTTTTTTTTTATTTTATTTTTCTAAAAGTTCTTAGCTTGCCAGTATTTTCGACAGGTTGAAACTGCTCTGCCAAATACAATATAAACGCTTCTTTAAATCTATGTTTCACGTAATGGCAAACAATTTCCTTTTTCTGTGTCAGATAATTCCGTCTGCAAGTTGGATAATTCAGTTTGTGAATCGCAATTTTCTCCCCCACATAAGTTGCAGTGCATATTTGAGAAAAATTGTTGACTTTAGGTTAAGTTCCATGCATACATTCGCTGCTTTTCCAACAAGCGTGTTTGAGAACAATGAACCGGCTTTTAATTCGAAACCAACATTTTACAACCAGCTTTAGCTATTTGAACCGGCGATCAAAGGCGTTCTTCCTAGCTCAGCATAAATAGCCATGTTTGTTGATTTTTAATGAACTCCTAAGACTCTTTTGCAGAATTTTAGATGAAGTTTTTCAATTGCACTATTGATTTGGAAATTTTTTTTCTTGAACATGTCGAAAGAGTTTATTCTGTCCAATAAATGCGGACCCCACACTTCGCAATCGTATAATAAGATTGGGGTAACTATCGAAGAAAATAGTTTTAACATTAGTTTTATTGGAACATTTTCGACATTTGAGAAACTTTTAAATATACTATGATAGGCATGTAATGCTTTTCCGTAGATTATCTTTTGTGCTCGCTTGAAAGTACCAGAAATTAAAAGTGAAGAGTAATATCCAGATAATATTCATCAACTTGTTCCAAAACGTTTTTGGGTTGGTGTTCCAAATACTAGAACTTTGGATTTCTTAAGATTAATGTTTAACTTCCACTTTTTGGTATAGTAAACAAGTTTTGTGAGGCAATTTTATAATCCTGCCCTGGATTCGGATAATAAGACTAGGTCGTCTGCGTATAAAGCAAACAGCTTAGATTTGTATCATTTAATTTTACTGGAGTGCATGACCTGTCAAATATATCAGGTAGATCATTAATGAATAGGTTGAATAAAGTAGAACTTAAGTTACAACCCTGTTTGACTCCTACATGTGACCTAAAGAAAGTTGTATACCCCTTTTCCAATTTTACCGACCAGTCATAGGAGGCAGGGCCGTAGGAAGCTCTTTTCGATTGGGGGGTGCTGAAAGCGAGGGCCAAAGGCCCGAGGAAATTTTTAAATTTAGAGTCTCTGAAATGCCATTTCCTGGACTTTGGGGAAGATTTGACAGATTTCTGATGGTCAGAAAACAGCGTTTTAGTATGTAGAAATTTACAATTCAGTAGTACTAAATGGGCGAAGGCGTATTTAATTAACTATATTTCGGATAAGTTGCAGGAAAGTATGGGTAATATCTTCATTCTTTGCAGTTCGTCATGGATTAAATGATAAAGGTCTGCATGATTTTGAAAACTGAATGATTATTAGCAAATTATTGGGGGAGGGGGGGGGGCTGCAGCCCCCCCCCCAGTTGCTACGGCCCTGGGAGGAATACATGCTTAACATTAAACGTATGAATCTCTTGCTGCAACCATTCAACATCAATTTGAAGAAAAGATCCTCCCTCCATACACTATCGTAAGCTTTTTGAAGTCAATAAAACAAGCAAAGATTGGTTTACGTTTTGATTTGTATATAATAATCTATTAGAGTTTTCAAAACTAATAGATGGTCGGCTGTCCGGTGTCACAGGAGATTCGCCCCCCAGGAGATTCGTCCCCCCTCTCAAAAGGGGGGCGATATTCCTAGGATATTCGCCCCCCCCCCCGGGGCGAATCTCCTAGGAATATCGCCCCCCAGGGGGGCGAATCTCCTAGGAATATCGCCCCCCTTTAGGAATTTCGCCCCCCCCATATAAATTTTGAATTTTTGATCTTAAAACAAAACGATTGCAAGTTGAAAAGATTTATTGTGTGATTTATTTATTTATTACAAGGAGACAAAATTGCATACACATTTTAGGCTTCTTAGCAGCTGGTGGTGTGCACAGTCTGCATAACCACTCATTTGAGGTACTTAGACTAGTGTCATATTCTACACATCTAAAGTGGAACCATCACAGAGATCGCATAAAATCATGTTGTCGTATTCTTCTGGCAGTTTACATTCACATGACATATTATAAAAACAATCGCTTGCAAATTTTATCAATACGAGTGTTAACAATAGCCGCCATAGTAATCACTTGCTAACAATAAACTATAGGATTAGTAAAAAATCTACGGAATGTGTTGAGAAGCGTATTGACTATTGTCCGTTGAATCGTCAACTTTCTGTGTCAGTGATGTAATCTTGATTCTTCACTTCCGCAAAGAAAATTGCATTATATATGTGGTGTGGTTTATTCCAATAATTTAATGATACTTTGATTTTATTAGTGCATGCCTTAAACATTTGAGAATGTAACTCTGCAAAACTAAAAGCTTTCTTGTCTTTTTTGAAACGTATATTATTGGATTATTGCCTATTGGCAAGTTCTACCCTTCGCTTCTGAGATTTACAAACAATATTGAAATAATGCAAGTACAAAATAGTGACAAACCATACATTTTCCGATAACGACAAAACGTGGATGCAAAACAATACAAATAATTATAATAACCACCACGGTGATTACTTTTTAACAATGAGTTTAAGGATTAACACTGAAAATGCAAAATATGCATGGTGTGCTGTGAAGCGTCATAAGTCCTATTGAGTATTGATCTACTGTAACTGTGTAAAGCCCTTTCGATACATGTAATTGTAAATTTGTATTCTTACATGCAGGGCTTGAAATAACGTTCCCAAAATTCCCGATCATGGTGATCAGCAGTCGTGACTTTCCCTGCTTTTTTCAGGTTGGAAACCGAAACCCTGCTTTTCCGAAGTATGGCCTGATACTCAGGTTACCGCCGATCACAAGCAATTCCTTAAGTAACAACGTTAAGTAAAATACTTCAATGAAACATGAGCACTGGAAAATACTATGATCAACAATAAGATTTTTCATGAGCACTGGAAAATACTATGATCAACAATAGTATTTTTCATGAGTACTGGAGAATACTGAATGAAACATGAACACTGGAAAATACTATGATCGACAATAATATTTTTCATGAGGCATTGGAAAATACTGAATGAAACATGAACACTGGAAAATACTATGATCGACAATAATATTTTTCATGAGGCATTGGAAAATACTGAATGAAACATGAACACTGGAAAATACTATGATCGACAATAATATTTTTCATGAGGCATTGGAAAATACGGAATGAAACATGAGCACTGGAAAATACTATGATCAACAATAGTATTTTTCATGAGCATTGGAAAATACTTCAATGAAACATGAACCGCTGGGAAATATACTATGACAACAATAGTATTTTTCATGAGTACTGGAAAATACTTCAATGAAACATCAGCACTGGAAAATACTATGATCAACAATAATATTTTTCATGAGCACTGGAAAATACTATGATCAACAATAGTATTTTTCATGAGTACTGGAGAACACTGAATGAAACACGAACACTGGAAAATACTATGATCGACAATAATATTTTTCATGAGGCATTGGAAAATACTGAATGAAACATGAACACTGGAAAATACTATGATCGACAATAATATTTTTCATGAGGCATTGGAAAATACGGAATGAAACATGAGCACTGGAAAATACTATGATCAACAATAGTATTTTTCATGAGCATTGGAAAATACTTCAATGAAACATGAACCGCTGGGAAATATACTATGACAACAATAGTATTTTTCATGAGTACTGGAAAATACTTCAATGAAACATCAGCACTGGAAAATACTATGATCAACAATAATATTTTTCATGAGCACTGGAAAATACTATGATCAACAATAGTATTTTTCATGAGTACTGGAGAACACTGAATGAAACACGAACACTGGAAAATACTATGATCGACAATAATATTTTTCATGAGGCATTGGAAAATACTGAATGAAACATGAACACTGGAAAATACTATGATCGACAATAATATTTTTCATGAGGCATTGGAAAATACTGAATGAAACATGAACACTGGAAAATACTATGATCGACAATAATATTTTTCATGAGGCATTGGAAAATACTGAATGAAACATGAACACTGGAAAATACTATGATCAACAATAGTATTTTTCATGAGTACTGGAGAATACTGAATGAAACATGAACACTGGAAAATACTATGATCGACAATAATATTTTTCATGAGGCATTGGAAAATACTGAATGAAACATGAGCACTGGAAAATACTATGATCAACAATAGTATTTTTCATGAGTACGGGAAAATACTGAATGAAACATAAAAACTGGAAAACAGACTATGATCGACAATAATATTTTTCATGAGCATTGGAAAATACTTCAATGAAACATGAACCGCTGGAAAATACTATGACCAAAAATAGTATTTTTCATGAGTACTGGAAAATACTGAATGAAACATGAACAATGGAAAATACTATGATCAACAATAGTATTTTCCATGAGCACTGGAAAATACTGAATGACTACCATGAGCACTGGAAAATAGTATGATCAATAGTATTTTCGAGTGCTCATATTATTTCAAGTTCCATTCTATCAGTAGAAAAGTAAAATTTACTTGAAATGTGTATAATTGGGTACCTGTGCATGAAGGCAGTCACTGATGTTTTATAGTATAAACCTGCCTCGTACCCAGGCGTCTCTTTGTGAAAAAACAGCGTTGCGCATATGGCGAGTTTACATGAAGTATTGTAGTCTTCGTATTATCCCCGAGCCGGCGGCGCGAAGCGCCGTGCGAGGGTACTAATTCCCCCCGGCTATTTACACCCGGGGAAACGAAAGCATTAGCCAAGTCTAAAGTTCATCAAATATCGCGGGCGTGGGTCACTGTGCGTGGGTGGTCAT